ATATATATATATATATATATGTGTGTGTGTGTGTGTGTGTGTGTATTTTGATCACCATTTGGGTGCAACAGACATACACACACAGAGACACACACTAGTATATATGTGTGTGTGTGTGTGTGTGTGTGTGTATTTGTGCATAATAGGCAAACACACACATATATAAATCCTGGTGTATATCCAAAAAACAAGCCAACAACACTTTTCCTAAATTTATGCTGGATCCCAGAAGGATGCAGTTGATTGTGTATGTGTAATACTGTGCCATATTCAAAAACAGACCCACAGAAAAACAGAGATAATATATAATGAATCCTATATAAATACATATTTAAAGCAAATCTCCTCTGATCCTAAGTCTTAAAATGGGTCCTCCCTCAACATCTCAGATCCCATTTTGAAAGGAAGGAGAGAGATAAACCCAATAAAGATAAAAAATAAATATACTGGAACGCCTCCACAAAAAAATCTGTGATGGCTTGTGTCCTCCCTAAATCTGCAAAATCCTAAAAATGTAGGATCACTCCCAGCAAAATTGGGCACAGCACACACATACCCCCCTCGCTTCCCCACAAATTAGGATCAGCTCTCATGCAAAAGAGGGGGATCCCCTCCTCAGGCCCGAACAAAGTAACTTACCGTGAGAAAGTAACTTGCCAAGCGCTAGATCCAAAGCGATCCTTCCTCCAAAGCCCCAAGAAAGGAACTGGGCAACTCCAGGCGACCGAGGGGCGTGTTTAGAACGTGGGGCTCTTCTACTCCACTGCAGCGCGTCGGAGCCAATCAGAGGAGAGGAGGACTCCGCCGCGGCCAATCAGCGGCGGTGGAATGCCAGCGGGCGAGGCGAGCTTGTTACAATGGAATCAACTATGGAACGAAAAGGCGCAGATGCGCGATGGACCCCTTTGCGTCTACACTTGGGTTGGAGATAGGTATAGGAAAGCGCCCATGGGGAAGAAGATGAATTTAAGCGACCTATGCTGAGTTAGGAACCTGGGGAAAAAAAGAAGAAGCAACCCCTATTAAATAATACATAGATGATGATGATGATGATGATGATGATGATGATGATGATGATGATGATAAATATTTTGTTGTTGTTGTGTGCCTTCAACTCTTTTCTAATTTAATGCGACCCTAAGGCCAACCTGCCATGGGTTTTTCTTGGCCAGTCTCTTGGTGGGTTTGCCAATGCCTCCCCCGAGGCTGAGAGAGTGTGACTTGCCCCAGTGGGTTTCCGTGAGCCTGAGCCGGGATTTGAACCCTGGCCCCCAGAGTCCTAGGCTGAGGCTCCAGCCCCTACGCCACTCTGGTCCTCGGATCGCGAGGCGTCGGACGCAGCTCCCAGAAGAACTGGCGTGATTTCGTACAGTGTGGGTGCACTGCACAAAACTACAGATCCCAGGATTCCGTGGCATGGAGCCATGGCAGAGTGGAAAGTGTGTGGATTTGCAGCCTGGTTTGGTTGGAGGACAGGATGATGGGCTAGCCAGACCCTTTCTCTAACCCAGTGGTCCCCAAAGGTATGGATGAGCCCAAAGGTCTCCTGTTTGCTTGCAAATCCAAAACAGCCAGGCTTGGTGTCTGCTCCCTTTGCCACCCAGAGACTTTGGGAGCAGCAACCGAGCAGCCGGCTGTGTCTGTGCCAGAAAGGCCAAGGTGGGCAAGAGGCCTCTCAGTTGCTGCTCCCAAGGGACCCAGGTGCAAAGGGAAAGGAATCTCCATCCGTTTTCCTTCTGCAGAAAAGTGCAGCCAGTGCGTATGCAGAGAATTTGCAGAGGCCACATGCTCTAGGCTGGAGACTGGCACGGATGGGAAAGGGAGATATATTATTATTATTATTATTATTATTATTATTTACTTTAAAAACACCAAGGACTTTCATGAGTTCAACCTAGACAATGAAGAAATAGAAATAGTAAGGGGACCACTGGTCTGACCCATCTTCAGAGCATTAAAGGTCTCACATCTTCCCCTCCAAAGCTGCGCATGAATCAGGCCATTTCCCTATTGTCATGGCTATGGCAACCGTGGCTTGGTTGCCTTTGGGCCACGCTTTCTGTTTTGCAATGCAGGGATGGCATCACCATGGCTACGGACCCCGGGATTTGTGCAAGTGGATGTGTCCAGGAATGGTGTGTGTGTGTGTGTTTGTGTGAGATTTTCCCATGGACTGCATTTTCCCATGCACTTTTGGGATGCATGACCAGTAGTACTTCATGAGTTGCAGGACTGGGTTTTTTTCCTTCTCTTTTTGGAGAGAGACGTGATAAGAATGGCATTTAAGCCTTAGGGAAAACCAGGACAGAGCGACAAATGCATTCCTTGCTGTTGTTGTATGCCTTCAAGTCATTTCCAACTTATGGCAAACATTGTTGTTGTTGTTGTTGTTTGCAAGATTTGCTCAGAGGTGGTTTGTTATGGCCTCCCCGAGGCTGAGAGAGTGTGACTTGCCCAAGGGGGGTTTCCATGGCTGAGCTGGGAATCAAGCCTGGGTCGCTAGACTTGGAGCCCAACATTCAAGCCATGCTGGTTCTTGCCCACATTGATCGCTTAGAAATGTTTGCTATGTGGAATTAAACTGGCATTGTTTTATGGCCTCCTTGCAAACTCAGATTTTGCTCCAGAGCCGCATTTCCCAGACGGAGGCTTAACCTGCTGAATATTCAACGCACAGCCTCTGGTGCCATGTCAGATCCGCTTTGCCATCGCCGATCGCCTGGCCTGCAACTGGGCTGGACATTTGGACGCTGGGAGGCTTGGCGCCAGATGCGGGCACCATATGTTTGCATGCAGCTGTCTCCTCGCCATCATGGAAAAAACAGCTGCTCTTAGCTTGTGGCATGAAGTGATGCTGGAAGAATTCCTTCCACCGCCTTCGATACTTTGCCCTCAACAAACTCTAGGCTTGCAAAAGGATGACCGCCAAGGGTCCTTCCCCACCATACATAACCTGATTTTGTTCCTTTTCAGATGTTGGGGAGGATTTGAACCTGCAACCTTCTGCTTGCAAAGTATGGGATTCTGCGGCAGAGCTTATGACGCTTAGGGCCTTGCGTTTCGTTTGCTCTTTTGCATTTTGTTTGCATCCTTTCTTGCCCCTAATAGACACCCTTTCCCTCTCTATCCTGTATCCACACTGTGCAGCCATAGCGCTTTGATTCCACTTTAATTGCCATGACTCTAGGATCCTGGGATTTGCAGTTTAGGGAGGGGTGTTTTGGATTCTAAGGCTGCAAAATTAATACAGATGGCTTTATCTGACCTGGCTCCTTGCTCTGAAATTTGGGGATGTGTCATTTTGGGAGATATTTAGACTTCTCTGTCAGAGAGCTCTGGTGCCACAAACAGATTTATTTATTTATTTATTTTCATTTATTTACTATATTTGTATGCCTTTCTCCCATAAGGGACAAACTACAAATCCCAGGATTTGTTTCAGATTTAAGGCATCTTGGGCTGCTGCATCTACACTGCAGAAATCATGCAGTTTGACCCTTTAACTGCCATGGCTCCATGCGACAGAATCCTGGGATTTGTAGTTTGATGTGGCACCAGGGCTCTCTGACAGAGAAGACTCGGTAGCTCATAAGACTACAAATCCCAGGATTTCATAGCATTGAGTCAGGGCAGTTAAAGCAGGATTAAACAGCATGATTTCCGCAGTGCAGATTTGACTTTTGTTATGGATAAAGGACTGGTTTGAAAAGAGATTTAAGACCAAACTGGTTTCTTTCTGTGACCCTGAATTTAAAGCCTTGGCAGTTAAATAGGATCATGATTTCTCCAGTGCATGATTTCTCCAGTGCAAATCAGATCATTGTTGTGGATAAAGGACTGGTTTAAAAAGAGGCTTACGTCCAAACTCTTTTCTTAGATCCTGAGTTGAAACCAACCTTTATTCAGAACCAAGAGGAATTCAAAAAGTCGGCGACCTGGGTCCAAAACACACGGCAGAAAGATCTAGTTTGAGACCACTTTCACTGCCCTGGCTCAATGCTAGGGAATTCTGGAAACTGTAGTTTTGTGACACATTGAGCCTTCTCTTTCAGAGAGGGCTGGTGCCACAATAAACTATAATTCCCAGAATTCCCTAGTACTGAGCCAGGGCAGTGAAAGTGGTCTCAAACTGGATTATTTCTGCAGTGTGTTTTGGACCCTGGATATCTGGGCTGGTAAGGATAGCGGAAAACCTGGAACGGATTCATTGCCTAACTGACATGGGAAACAGCAGCTACTGCTGCCGAAATTTGATGCTGGACAGATTTTCAGTAGTAAGGATTCCCCGTGGAATTACAAATACTAATAATAATCCTTTTTTCTATCTTTTTTTTTCCTCCTCCCTTGCATGCGCGGCCTAAATCTTAATGGTATTCTTTTTCTGTTTACAACAAATCTCTCCCCTTATTATTATTTAAAAGAAAAAGACGGAGGAGGAGGAGGGGAGGGAAAAAAACCCAGATAAATAAACACCAGGACAAAGCCCATTTGGGTGGGCAAATATGACTTTGTGTGCTGGATTTTTTTTTATTGCTCTGTTAAATCACAGCAAATTGCCTGGCATCTTTAAGCAATTGGGTTTAATTTAAAACTTCCATGGGAGTGCAGCTTCGCCATAAATTTCCGGAGCGATGCCGGGTCCCGGATCGCATTGTGGCATTTTCTTTCCAATTAAGAGTGGAGGGTAAAGGAAAGGCGGGCGGGTGGAGGAAAGGAAAAGCAAAGGAACAAAGAAGGAAAACAAAAACCCCAGCTGCACTGTTGGCAGAAGCTATTAATAGTCCATTACTATTGCTTCTTCTAATAGCGAATTTGGCTGGGGATGGGCTAAACAAGACCGCTGGGAATCGCAGCAAGCGTGCGCGGGAATTTAATATTCTTGGGGGGGGGGAATTCTAAAGTTTGCAGAAGGACAACCCAATTTTGGAGGAATGGGAAGCTTCAAGAGGCAGGCCAAAGCCTAGAGTAATGAGAGCGGCTGACAATATTGGGTATGGATGGAAAGGGGTGGGCATTCCCAGGGGAAAATCATAACATTTTCAAAATCATAGGGACATAGAGTTGGAAGAAACCACAAGGGTCATCTTAGAGGAAGCGGAAACCACAAAGGCCGGAGTAAGGAATGCATCGGACAGTCTGAGTTGACAATATTTGGCTAAAACACAGAATGGCAATTATAAGAGGTCAGATATTGGGAGGAAGTGTTGATTCGGAGATTTTGCAAAGATAAAGTTGAGAATATTAGGTTAGAGGAAGGAACGGCAACTTTAAGAGGTCAGATATCGGAGGATTTGGAGATTTTGCAAACATAGAGTTGACAATATTAGGCTAGAACAGGGAACAGTAACTATAAGAAGTCAGATATTGGAGGAAGCAAGGATTCAGAGATTTTGCAAGGTTTTTCGCTTGCCATTCCACCGATGGGAAAATTGCAGGGCAGGCTTGGAATCTTACAAAAAAAAATGGACACATTTCAAAGATTTCAGCAGGAACCGAATTCGAACTCATTGAGAGAGGTTACGACTCGGCCTTCGAGATCCCTAGGAGAGGAGCAGATCATTTCTTTCTTGGAATAGAGGCTCACCGAATTATTCTCAGCCCAGTTTACGAGAGCATGCATGCGGCAATCGCAGACCCACGGGTTTCCAGAAAGGTCAAGACCCGGCTCGGCAACTTGGCCCGAGAACGGAGGATCCAAAGAGGAGAGCCGGTTGTGGGAGATATCCAACATTTCAAGGAACTTCAGAGGCTCAAAGACCTTAGCGGGGAGTTTATCCAAGCTGTTGTTTTGCAGGAAGAGGAACTTTAGCTCAGGAATGTCATGGAAGGTCTCATCGGCGATCGACTGCAACCGGTTGACTTCTAGGTTCAGACCCGTCAAGCGGGGCAGACCCTGAAACATTGGTGCTGAGAGCGTGTGGAGGAAATTGTGTGAGAGGTCCAGATCGGTCAACTGCTCCAGTTTGTCAAAACACAAGTCGGGCACCTCTTTCAGTTTGTTGTTGGAGAGGTCTAGGATCTTGAGACGCCGTAGGGCTTGGAACCACGAAGGACGGAGGAGGGTCAATTGATTTCCTTTTAGCGAGAGTTGCTTCAAGGCACTGTTGTTTCTGAATATCCCCGGCGGGAGATCTTTGAGGAGGTTTCCAGTGAGATCCAGAGCGGTCAGTTCTGGGAGGTCACGGAAAAGGCTGTTGGGAAGAGTCTTCAACTTGTTGTTGGCGAGGTGAAGCTCTTGGAGGTGAGGAAGGGCCCGGAGAGCATCTACGCTGATGATAGAGATGTTGGTGTACTCGACGGAGATGATTTGGGTCTGTTTGGGGAAACCGGTCGGAAAATCGCTGAGAGATGGGGAGGAACAGATGAACTCTGTGGTGTTTGGAGAGGACACAGGAGGGCATGGGAGAGCCCCAAGGAAGGTGCACTGAAGGGACATCACAAAGCAAATTATAAAGGTAGCCGAGAGATCCATCATGGCGGTCTGTGAGGAAGCAGAAAGAGAGGAGATGCTTTGCATTAATTTTGGGAGGATACACATTATGTCCACTTCTTTCCTTAGTCAGTCTCAAAGAGGCCGCTATAAGATCTTTCAACATACTGACTCCACAGACTAACACAGCTCTATCTTTGAGTTCTACCACATGTTAGGATTGAAAACCTTGAACTGTTTTGTCTTGGCTCAGGAGGAGGAATCACTAAAATAATCTTCCCTGATGTGGCTGGAAAAAATTGAATATTCCTCCACATTATACAGTGGTCTTGCAAATGTTGGTCTTCCAAATTTGGTACTTCAGTTCCCAGAATTCCTAATGGGTGGCCAAGCTGGCTGAGGCTTTTGGGAGCTGAAGTCCAAAACACCCAGAGGGTTAATGCTTGGGAACCTCCATTCCACATTATTTTCCCTGTATTGTACAGGAAAATAATAATAATAATAATAATAATAATAATAATAATAATAATAATAATAATAATAAATAAGTTTATAATGCCCTTTCCACCAAAGGGTGGTACATCAGAACACATACAATAAAAATGAATGATTAAACACCACACTATAAAATGCAAAAATACTAAAATAATATACTAATGTGCTAAAAACAAAAACAGAAAAGCATGTTTTCTTGCACAAAAGTCCTGTCTCCTCCTGTCCTTTTGTGCAGGAAACAGTGTAATCTGTGCAAAAAATCCATTTTCTGCACAGAAAAGAGTTTGTTTTTTGGGGGTGGTGGTGGTATAAAAACATGTTTTTGTCCACAAAATAATTCCCATACAATGTTTCAGGAAATCAACTCTGAGGAGAAAATTGCACAAAATGGTTGTTGATCTATCATTCCTCCCAACCCGAATCCCCAATGGTTGGGAAATTCAGATTTCAAAATGGAAAAAAAGTGAATATTTTTTCTATTGCTAATACACACCACTTTAACTACCATGGCTCAATGGTATGGGATTCTGGGATTTGTAGTTTTGTGAGCCTTCTCGGTCAGTGAGCTCTGATGCCCCAACGAACTAGAAACCCCAAGATGCCATAGCATTATGGAGAACATATTAGAACATCAGGTTCTCCACAAACCAGAAAGCATTCGAAGGTACCCAGTGACAAAGAAACCAAATCAGTTCCCAATACAAAAATAAAATAAGCTGCACTCACAATTTGGGGTCTCATTCTATGCGTATTTCTGGAAAAGGAGGTTGTCGCTTTGCTCAGATTCGCAAGGTTCTCTTTACTGCGGAAAACGCTTGCAAGTTTTCTCAAATAAATACTTTTATTCTCCTTGTAAGCAAACCTGGATCTGATTTATCACTGACTTGGTACCTCCAAATTTTGGTACCTCCAAATCTGCTGCTGGGGGAAACAGACGTGAGGCAACCACCCTGTTTTTCCAGCTACAGATCCCTGAAATCCATTTGTCGGAGGACATAATAGAGTCATAGAACCATAAAGTTGGAAGAGACTCCAAAGGTCATCCAGTCTGACCCTAATCTGCCATTCAGGAGGACACCATCGAAACCCTTCCAACAGATGACCATCCAACCTCTGCTTAAAAACCTCCAAAGAAAGAGATTCCACCAGTTTCCAAGGCATTACTTACTGGTAGTTTTGTTGCTCTGTCCAGACTCACACCACTCTTCCTTCCTTTTCGGTGCTGTGTCTGCAAGAGATCTCTCCAAATTCCTAAACCTTTATCAGGTTTGCTTTATCAGGAAATGAAATTCAAAGGGAGGGCCCCCAGAGCTGAAACAACAACAACACAAAAAAACCCTACCCTTTTTCGGAAATACCACTGAAGGTTTACATGTTTCTTGTCTTGCGACACTTTTTTTTGTGTTGTGAAACTAGTTCTCCCAAAGTGCAAACACAAGAGGAGAGAGGGGCCAAGTCTTGATCCGAAAAGCAAGCAAGTGGAAGGTTCTGTTGACCCAAACTTTTCTGGCTGGAAACGAAACAATTTCCCGAAAAGTTTTCTAGGGAAAGAGCCAAGAGCAAAACCACAACGCAAATGCAAATTCTGGTGGGGAAAAAGGAACACACCTTGAGTCGGATGGAGTTTGGGGCCCATTGAAACCAACAAGGAAGGCAGGGTGGTGTAGGGGTTGGAGGGCTAGTCTGGGACTTGGAGAGATCTAGTCCCCAGGGATCTATGAAGCTGGATAATCCTGCATAACTCTGGACCAGTCTCTGGCCTAATTTGCATTGCAGAAATAATGCAGTTTGACCCCACTTGGTAACTGCAATGGAATTCTGTGATTTGTAGTTTGGTGATTTTCTAGCAAGAAGTAGGAAAAGTTGCGTAGATTTGAGAAAACTCTTAGAAACACCTCCCACTCAAGCATAGAAAATGACAATTTTTACGTCGGAAGGGATCTCCAAGGGTCATGTAGTCCAACCCTTGAGGGCCTCTATTTCTAAAATGCATTACTTTCTGAGAAGTTTGAGCCAAACCATGTTTTCGTCCATCCCAGTCAATGGGAAATTTGGGATCGGATCCGCTCAGGGCTGGAATCCGAACTTGAAAGGAGCAAATCGAGGGGAAAGGGGCAAACCATCTCTTGCAAAATAGGTCCAGCACCTCAACTCCTTGACAGTTCTGACTAAAACTCAGAGCAGATTTGGACCTGCTTCCCCAATGAGATGCCACTCTCTTACTGCCTCCCTGGGGCTCCCTTTCCTCCTGTTTATTCTGGCAAAAAAAGAGAACTATGTTTTCCCTTTGCATTGAGGAATTCTATCACTGGGCCAAGGCCGGCAGCTGCATGGAGACGAATCAATGGATCCTTTGTTTTCTATTTCTGCATGGAGTATTAACCACCTCGGTTCCGAGTGCGGATCCATTTGAAGGAAATGACCTGGGGATGATTTATCGAAAAAGCTATTATTGGGCATTCACAACGGAAACTCCCAACCGGTTGGACTGAGACCTGGCACCTGAGCCGCTGACATCCAAAATGAGACTAATTAATTAATTTCATTTCTTTATTTATTGGAATAACAGATAATGGCACATTTTTAGAAAGACAGGGCTCTTTTATCTCTGTTGTCACATGCCTTCAAATAGTTTCCGACTTATGGCGACCCAAAGGCGAACCTCTCATGGGGTTTTCTTGGTAAGATATATGCAGAGGAGGTTTGCCATTGCCTTCCTCTGAGGTTGAGAGGATGTGACTCTCCCAAGGTCACTCAATGGGTTTCTAGGGCTGAGCAGGGATTCGAACTCTGGTCTCTTGGAGTCCTAGTCCACACAACAACCACAGCAACAAGAGGAAGAGATTCTCAGAGCTAGCTGTTCTCTTTTAAGGCTTGAGCCTTGAAATAATAATAATAATAATAATAATAATAATAATAATAATAATAATAATAATAAAAAATACACATCTCAGTGGGGGTGCCTTCAAGTTGTTCCTGATATGGCACCTCTAAGGAGAACCTGTCATGGGGTTTTCTGAGGCTGAGAGGATGTGACTCACCCAGGGTCACCCAAGTGGGAATAAAAATAATAGTAATAATAATAACAAATATACATCTCAATGCCCTCATTGTTGAGTTTCTGATATATGGCAACCCTAAGGAGAACCTGTCATGGGATTTTCTGGGGCTGAGAGGGTGTGACTCACCTAAGGTCACCCAAGTGGGGAATAATAATAATAATAATAATAATAATAATAATAATAATAACAAATATGCATCTCAATGCCCTCATTGTTGGGTGCCTTTACGTTGTTTCCGACATACGGCCACCCTAAGGAGAATCTGTCATGGGGTTTTCTGGGGCTGAGAGGGTGTGACTCACCCAAGGTCACTCCCTCTCAGGGCTCGGGATGTCTTGGGCCTGCATCCACACTGCCAGGGCTCCATAATGCTGTGAAATTCTGGGAATTGTAGTTTTGGGAGACGGGTAGCCTCCTCTGCCAGAGAGCTCTGGTGCTACAACAAACTGTAAATCCCAAAGTCTTGATCCAGGGCAGTTAAAGTGGTGTCAAAGTGGATTATTCCTGCAGTGCAGAACGCAGCCTTGGAGGCCTCTTGTGCATAGCATTGCTCACAGCCGTGAAGAACAACAAATCCCAAACCTTTGGAGGGGGCCAGGTTGTCTAATAGTGGGAGGAAAAGGAAGCCGGGAACGGGGAACGTAACCCAGTCATTCTTTTGGGCTGTTTGGAGAGATGCTTTTGAGAGATGCTCATAAAGATCCCAAGAACCCGAAAAACACATTCCTTGCCAGCAGAAAAGCGGCTTTTTTGCAGATCCGGAGGTGGCTGACCTAGACTTGACTGTCCAGTTGGACCTTGTCCGAAAATCTCCTTGCACAATTGCACAACTGGGAGGGCAGCACCCTTGTGAGATCATTGTGACCCTGTTGTTGTGTGCCTTCGAGTCATTTCCAACTTATGGAGACCCAAAGATGATGACCTCCTGGGGCTTTCTTGGCCAGATTGGTTCAGATTTGCTTTGCCATTGTCATCCTCTGAGGCTGAGAGAGTGTGACTTGCCCAGGGTCACCCAGTGGGTTTCCATGGCCGAGCGGAGATTCGAACCCTGGTCTCCAGAGTCCAAATCCAACGCTCAAACCATTACACCAGGTTGGCCTTCCTTGGCCATTTCAATCTCTGGTGTCTATTCTATCTGAAAATCTGTAACATGTCGGAGGCTGCATCTGCACTGCAGAAATAACTCAGTTTCATAACACTTTCATTGCCTTGGCTCAATGCTATGAAATTCTGGGATTGGTAGTTTGGTGGGGTACCAGAGCTCTCCAACAGGGAAGGCTCCATAGCTCACGAAACAACAAAGTATGATTTCTTTAGCCTTCTCTGGCAAAGAGTGCTGGGGCCTTGTCAAACTATAAATCCCAGGATACCGTAGGAGTTAAAATGGGCTCATAATTGCATTATTTCAACAGAGTAGATGCAGCAGTAGAATGGGGTGATGCAGAAGGGTCCTTGAAGGTGTGCGTCTTATATACCCTTTATTTTTAAATACTTTTATACTGTTTTAAATTCGTGGTGTTTTTAATGGAACAGCTTAATGCTTTTAAAGCCTTTTTAAAGCCATTGTCGTTTTCCTTTTTTGGCAAAAAGCGGTGCTTTGTTTTAACCTGTGCAACAAGGCCCCCTGGGTTCAATGCTGGAGAAAGACAAGATCTAAATAAAATTAAATTAAATACAAGACTGTCTGAGTTAAGAAAGTCGATGTATCCCTGGATACTATGTCTCTAGCAGAAAATTTGATCCCAGAGACTGAAATAACATGGAGAATAAAGGGAGGTGTAAAGAAAGCAATTCAGCATCTTTCAGCTAACTTTTCCTTGAAAACTAACAAGTTAATCAATTCTGGGCAACCTTGCAATAATAATAATAATAATAATAATAATAATAACAACAACAACAACAGCAGCAGCAGCAGCATTTATTTATTATACCCTTTCCACCAAATGAGTACCAGTGGCTTCTTGAAGGTTTCCTCCCAAATGATCATTTTTATTTTTATTTATTTCAATCAATAAATAAATACATTGAATTTGGGGTTGGACTGGTTGACCCTTGTGGGTCTCTTCCAACTCTGTGATCCTATGATCCTATGAATCCAGGAGGACTTTTTTTCCTTCACCAGTGTGCATTTTTCTTAAGACTTCCATTATGGTGGCTGAATCGTAGAGATGAAAGGGACCCCATGGGGTCATCCAATCCAACCCCATTCTGCCATGCTTTCTTTCAGGATGCCCTGTTTCTTTTCAGCACCCCTGAAAGTCGTGTGGAGAAAACCACAGACTTGTCCAAAAGACCAATGAATGGCTCTTGGAGCAACTCAAGCCTGAACTCTCCCTAGATGTCAAAATGACTCAATGAGGGTTATGTACTTAGGATATACCATGAGGCACTATGACTCACCAGAAAAGACAATCATGCTTGGGAAAGTCCTAGGAAAAGCAGAAGACTGCATCACAAGTTGATTGACTCATTCAAGGAAACCGTGGTTGCTTTGGCTTTGCAAAGACATTAGCTGGGCTGCAGATGACCCTTGGCAGTTTCTGACTCATAGGTCTGCCATCAGTCAAAGCTTATGACTTTACGGCCCATAAAACAAGACACTTTATTGCATTGCTGGCCACACCGTGCTCTCCTCAATCATAAAACAGGCGGAGACTTCACTGAGGCATGCGCAGAGTGCCTTTGCCTCATCCCTGAGTGCAAGCGAGTATAGAAAGAAATGTTTGTGTCTTCCTGCATGGCAGAAGCGGGTTGAACTGGATGGTCCCATGGGGTCCCTTTCAACTCTACGATTCTAACCAAAGAAACAAGAGGGTTTTTTTTTTTTTTAGCTTGCTCTAAGATTCTTTGACAGGGTTTGCAGAAGGAACCTCAAGAACAACTTATTGATTGCCAGAGCTATTTAGCAGTGGAAGAGACTGCCTCGGAGTGCAGTGGACTCTCCCATCCAAGGACTATCCAAGACTGATCTTGCTTAGCATCCAAGATCAGACAGAATCTGGCGCCTTTAGAGCATTTCATGTATTAACCTATGATATACTAGCTATATTATATGTGGTGTCCATGTACTTTCCAGTCGCCTGTCGCCCCATGAATGTAAGAGAATTTCAGAAGTGGCTTTTGCCAGTTCCTTCCTCTGACATAGAGCCTATAGCAGCTGGGATTTGTTGGCGGTAGCCCATCCAAGGACTAGCCAGGATTGACCTTGCTTAGCCAAGGTCAGATAGGATCTGGTGCCTTTAGGGTATTTTATGTGTGTGCCTTCAAGTTGCCTTATGGCGACCCCATGAATTTTGTAGGGTTTTCTCAGGCAAGGAAGACTCAGAGGTGGTTTGGCCAGTTCCTTCCTCTGAAATAGAGCCTACAGCGCCAAGAATTGGTTGATGGGTCTCCCATCCAAGGACTAATCAGGGCTAACCCAGCTTAGCCTCCTAGGTCAGATAGGAGTGCATTGGGTATGTCTCTTGAAGTCCACTTATGGTGACCCCATGAATTTCATAGGGTTTTCATAGGCAAGGAAGACTCAGAGGTGGTTTGGCCAGTTCCTTCCTCTGAAATTTCGCCAACAGCAGCTGGGATTTGTTGGAGGTCTCCCATCCAAGGGCTTACCAGGGCTGACCCAGCTTAGCTTCCAAGAGCAGACAGAATCTGGTGCCTTTAGGGCATTTAGTAAAATATGATATAATGATATGATATGATTATATGATATATGATATGATTAAAATATGATATTATATGTGTATCCATGTGCCTCCAAGTGACCCGTCAATTTATGGGGACCCCATGAATTTCAGAAGGTTTTCTTAGGCAAGGAAGACAAAGAAGTGGTTTTGGGGGTTTTATTTTGCAGAATTGGAAAAAATAATAAGTGTGGGACTAACTTTTGCAAGCTCTAGGTAACAGAGTTGTGGAAGTCAGAAATCGCAATTTTTTTTCAACAGCTCATTCCTCCAATTTTGGCCATTTTTTGCAAACAAATAAATTGAGCAAGGTTTTTATTTTTATTTCCCAGAAGGAATGTCCTACAAGCTTTGAGAGTTGTGTTCATCCAGAGCCGCCAGGTGGCAACCTTGTTGTGGTCTGTGACTGAAGACATTGGACTAATCCAAGATTTTCGATTCCTTGGCTCCAAGTGTCACCAAAGTGGAGGCTATGGTCAAGAAACCAGAAGGAAACCAAACCAAAACTAGGATTTGGATGAAAATGTGAAGGAACTCGATAAGATCCCCAAGTGAGATTAAATTGTTGTCGTCGCTGTGTGCCTTCCAGTCATTTCCAACATATGGCCAACCTATGACGGGTTTCTTGTCAAGTTTCTTCAGCAGAGGTTTGCTGTTGCCTTCCCCTGAGGCTGAGAGAGTGTGATTTGCCCAAGGTCACCCAGTGTGTTCTGTGGCTGAGTGAGGATTCGAACCCTGCTCTCCAGAGTCATAGTCCAATGCTCAAACCACTACACCATGCCGTCTCTCTCTCTCTCTTTCTTTCATTAAATGCCAAAGTCAAAATCATTAATGGCACTGTATTTCCAATTTTTGTGAGAGAAGGATGACCAAAGACACCGCACTGGGTCTCTATATATTATTAAATGTGTGTGTTGTGTGTCTTCAAGTTGTTTCTGACTTATGGCGACCCTAAGGCAAACCTTTTTTTTTTCTTGGCCAGATTTGTTCAGAGGGGGTTTGTTATTGCCATCCTCTGAGGCTGAGAGAGTGTGACTCACTTAAGGTCACCCAGTAGGTTTCCATGGCCAAGCAGGGATTCAAACCCTGTCCTCTGGGGTCACAGTCCAATGCTCAAACTGCTACGCCAGGCTGTCTCTCTCTTTCTATTAGGAAACACCAAAGTCAAAAGCATAGTATTTACAATTTATGCTAGAGAAGGGTGGCCATGATGACCAAATGTTTGGAACCCAAACCTTATGAGAAATGACAGAGGGATCTGGGTATGTTTGGCTAGACTAGAGATTCCTCCTAAACTTTAGGAAGACCTTCTTGACTATAAGAATGTCTCAAGTGCCTTCAAGGGTGGTGGGCTCTCCTGCTTTGGAGGTCTTTAAATAGAGGTTGGATGGGCAACTTTCAGAGGTGGAGCAGTTGTGCTTTCCTGCATGGCATGGGTTGGATTGGATGACCCTTGGGGGTCCCTTCCAACTCTATAGGCCTGATCACATGGAAGCAAATTGCTTAAATCCCGTGCAGAAACGGGATTTAAAAATCCAGAAAAACCCCACAAAAGTGGCTCATTTTCCAGATGCGTTTGCGTCGAGGAGAAATAACGCGACATTAACCTGAACGGAAAGTCGCCCAAACCCGCTCCTTTTTGGCAACTTTCCATTTGGATTAATGTCATGTTATTTCTCCTTGATGCCAACGTCGTGTGAAAAACAGCCTGCTTTTGTGGGTTATTTCTTAACTTTCTGTTTGGGTTAAGCCCGAACCTGCTTTTGTGGGTTGTTTTCACTTTAAATCCAGTTTCTGCATGGGTCTGTCCCGCGTGATAAACGCCGATGAATCAGTGATTCTATTCCATTCTTCTGTGCATGGTTGTGAAAGCAGGAGAGGAAAGAAAGCTGATAGGAAGCCAACTGACTCATCTGTGGGGCTGGAAAAGAGATCTATGGATACCAAGAATGGCCAGGAAGATGGATCAAGGGGTCTCAGAGCAAACGGAGCCTGAAATCTTACTAGAAGTCCAAATGACTCAACTGAGATTATCACATGGAATATCATAGGATGACATGACCCATTGGAAAAGATGATTATGTTTATTATGGTGGAAGGCAGCAGGAAAAGAGGAAGATGTAGTCCAGGTGGACTGATTCCATCAAAGAAGCCCTGAATTTGAGAACAATGGATGACTGGGGCTCTTGGAAAGGAAAGAAAGGAAAGGAAAGGAAAGACAGGCAGGCCCTGTATTTGCAAGATCTGAAAGACTGGGACTCTTGAACAGAAAGAAGGAAAAGAAAGAAAGAAAGAAAGAAAGAAAGAAAGAAAGAAAGAAAGAAAGAAAGAAAGAAAGAGAAAAGCAGAAATGAGAAAGAAAATGAAGGAAAAAGAGGGGAATAGAAAAATTGGGAAGAAGAAGGAGAGAGAGAGAATG